TAAATTAAAATTAAGCTGTGTTACCCTTCAAAAGGACTTTTTTATAGCACAAAAGCGTATGACAGATCTTTATTCTGATTATGATCGGTCGGTTCCAATGACAGCTGTAAGTTTTCCTAGTCCGAACTGAAAAATATGTATGTTCGAAAACTGTAACGATGCCTTGGATAATGCCCACTACCAAATTCCTTGAAGTTACCACGTCAACTTAAAGAGCTTTCCTTACAAGTAGTTGATTCCGATCGCTAAGTTTATATGGCAGCTATACGGATATGCTATAGTGATCCCATATCGGCGACTCGGACAAATGAGCAGCTTCTTCGGGAGATATGGACTTGTGCAGAATTTTAGATCGATATCTCAAAAACTGGGGGACTAATCGCGTATATACGAGAGACGGACATGATAATTTTTGTATATATTTTGTGTGGTCTCCGACGTTTCCTGCCGAGTCTTACGAATTTGGTAGCAAACTTAATATACTCTGTAGTTGGTATAAGAGAATATTTTTATCTGACCCCTATTGTAAACAATAGTTAATGAAAAACTCGACACATTTTGCTTAATTTTTTTTTTTTTTTAGCTGGTAGAGCAAATTTTATGATTTCTAGCATTTCATTGTGCAACAAAGAAAATCAATAAAAATTGACGACAACACATCCCAGACAACATAGGGCAGACATTGAGCTGCCGATTAGACTATGTATTCATTCAAAAGACATAAAGTTGAGTTCTCTCAAGCAATAAATAAAATGCTTTATAACATTGGTAAAAATGAAATGAAAATATGTTTGGCAACAAACCACGTTGAACACAATGAATTGCCAACAAATTTTTATGCCAGCCATGTCACTCATTCTACAATTGTGCAGAGTGAAAGGTCATTGAAGCGTGAATGAAGATGATCATAAATTTCGAATCGAACGGCTAAACAAAGCAAGCACAAGCAGCATATTGGCAGGAAAATCCGATTGACTTTTACAGCAACCAACCACCGACCGACCACACAGCCCATCTACAACCCACAAGACGACAGTTCAACAACACCACAGGACGCAACAGCACGCGGCCGCCCAACAGGAGCTCTCCACGTGCCAAGGAAACGACAACGAGCGAGCGATGCCATGGAGCCGCCCGCGCAGCGCAACAATCAAGTGAATCGTAATATAGTATATAATGGCAAATATGACGAGGAGCAAATGGGAATGCTTTATTTATGCAGCATCACTGGTCAGTCAAGCATTGAATGGCTCGAACAGCCGGTCAGCATCCCGAGATGACGCACCGAAGACACAAAACCGCTCGACCATGGCAGGCAGAGTTCAATGCTTGGTAAAGTACCGCGGAAAAACAGCTGGCCGACTGCTCATTTAATGGGTATGATTAGAGTGGGACTGAAGGGACCGCATGTGGCAATGCTAGAAATATTATATTCAATGTTACAATATTGGAAATTATTTAATTTATTCAAATGCAGGCGGGAAATTAAAATTAATGCAAGTTTTGTTTTAAAAAAATTCAAATTTAATTAAAACGCTGATTAGGCGAAATGCAAATTTAATTAGCGGCTTATTTATTTGTTGTTCTTCCATGCTCAACTACTTTGCCCTTGAGTTTGTGTTTGGCGGATTAAAGAAGAAATTCCTTAAAGGTTAATTACCTGCTACTTATGAGTTAAACGATTACTAATTGTGCTGTGCTGGCTTGATTAAGTGCAAAAAATGTGATATCTGTCGGCAATTGAACTTCAATTAGTCACAAACAAAAGGCAATCAAAGCAAAAGACAAAAGGGGCGAGAGGCCAACAAAGCTAATAGAAATGTCATTCTGGAATTATACTTTCTTGTAACTAAAATGGTTTAAGTGTTGAAGAAATGATATATAATATTCAAATGCTTAAAGTCAAAAATTAAGAAGAAGCTATTGAAATAAACAAAGAATTTTGCTATTGAAATAAACAAAGAATTTTGCTAGAGAATAATCAAAGAAAGCAGGATCTGATGAAATTTCGCAAAAATATCTTTTCAAACCAAAAACTTCATTTTGATATTGAAGGTTCCGACAAAATAAAGAAGCTGAAAGCTTGAAGAGGAAAGGTCTTATGGAAAATTTTATATCGAGTATACCAATAAGCCACTCATA